GCATATCAAATGAGCTTTCGCGCGTTCTGATTGGCTAGTTGACTAGTAAATCTGAGGCATTATTTACCACCTGGGTAGTAAATAATGCTTTTCAAAAAGAATGATTCGGCAAATTTGGTTTCAAAATCGACAAAATATTGAAAAAATCGTCCCAGAAAAGGAAAAAAGCACAAAATGTTGTATTTAACTTGAAAGGTAGGATTTAGTATTATATTACTGTGTCAAACATATTCACGGACAATTTAAAACTTATTTAAAACTCCGAAACATTCGCTTCAAACGTAAATCTGAAATAGGAAAAAAATATCCCGACTTTTACTTTTGGGAAAAGCCGTGGTATTCTTTTTAAAACAATTTTGTTTTGTATCCTATAAATATCTCAATTTGTACGATACTATTTCTTTTGACTATGTCGTGTTTTCATTGTGCTGTATGGTGTCCTTTCGCTGTATTGTACTATTTGTGTTTTTAAAACTTGTAAAGTGAAAAGTGTATTAAAACTTTTATATTAATTTGAACGATATAGTTTTACATTTCATTTTACCAAATTTCTCAGCCATTTCCTGAACAAATTAATGCTAAACAGAAACTATTTTTTAATTCTAAGTCTGGTAAAAAAGTCATTCCATCAATGTGTTTATATTCTAAGCAGAAATCGAGAAAAATAACTTTGTAATAAAGCAATAAAGTCGCACAGGAAGCCATTTTGAAAGCGTGCGTGTACAAGAAACACTGCAACACTAAACCGTAAACCGGTCGAAAACAGTTTTATTTCTGAATTTTAATTAAACTTATAGTTGGATAACTTGGATATTTTGTTTTATTCATTAAAAATTTATACTAAAACAATTATTCGCCTCAGGCTCAGTGATTACGGTGAATATTCACCTCGACTTCGTCTCGGTGAATATTCACCGGTAATCACTTCGCCTTCGGCGAATAATTGTTAAATATTATATCTGAAGCAGGCATATAATTTCAACTAGCACAATTTCGCACAATTGCTGTAAAAATGTGATTCCGAGAATGCAACATCAATGCAGTAAAGGCCTGATTCCACGAGCGTTTTTTCTCGGCGAAATGCGAAACATTTCTACTTACTGCGAAAGGGGACAAAGTGGGACAATTCAATACAATCGCTCATGTGCAACCACCGTATTTCGCAGACACAAGTTCTCGCGACGAATTTCGCCGTCGTGGAATCAGGCCTTAAGGTCCAGACACACCGGACGCGATTCGACAACGTGACGCGATTTTTCAGTTAGTTTGAAAAACAGCCAATGAGAGCGAATCAGTTAGAAACATATGTAGACCAAGTAACTTAAAATGTTATAGCGCTTCTAAATATTTGGAAAATTTAAACTTGGATCAAAGTTATCGGTCAGTGAAAATCGAAAAATCGCGTGGCGTTGTCGAATTGCGTCCGCCGTGTCTGGACCTTTAATGCGCAGATACATGTACGCGGTCGCGTACCTATTTTTCAAGATTATCAACTATCATTTCAACAGAGTGAAAAGCAGCGGATCCATCTGCAGCAGTATTGTCTAGACCTTGTAATGATTTTCTTTGAGATGCTTCCCTAACATCTAAAATTTTAAATAACGTGGAACGATCTATACTAGTACATACTGGCTTATCATCGTTGACCGCGTTACGGTGCGCACAACGTTCGGCATCTTCATGGTTTCCCCATTGTCGAGTTTCAAGATTCTACTTCCATATGATACGTCCTGGTAAACGTACGGTCCACTTTGCTCATGTCAACCCGCACACGATGATACTTCTTTTTTCAGGCACATTGCCTGGTCCTAGGGTTTTTGCGTGACATCTTGCTTTGTGTATTTGACGTGTAGACAATTTTTCGTACGGCAAGTGAATTTTCTTTAAAGTGCCGATAGAATATTTGTATGCATACAGACTGAGGATTTGGGTTTTGGTGTTTCTGTTATTAGCATTTTTATATGCGTTCATGAGAGATTTTACTAGGTCATCCACTCTAATTTCACCTTCCAGCTTTACTGGGTTAGAAGACGCCATAGCGTCAAACAGCTGTTGGCCATGTTTGGAGCTATTACAACACATACCAGCATACAGTCTTCAGTTGCTTTCTGAATACAATGTTGTTGTTGTTTTACACTAATGCTGTTCCAAGAATCAATCTGTAAATCTAAAGGTTCTCGAGAACAAAGTATATTTCTTGCGATGTCATCCATGGCTCTATTATAAACGTTTAGAACATCTTTGCTTTTGGTGCTTCCGCAGACCATCTCATAGGTTTTCTCTAATGGATTTCAGTACGCTAAGTGATGTTTGTAAAGGCTGCATTCCAGTTACGCGTTTTTCATACGTGCGTACACGCACGTAAAAGTTGAATTCGCTTTACATCCTACTTATGAAATAACTAAATTTATAAAAGGACAGCATTCAGTTTTGTGTATGATTTAATGTGTATTTGTTGAGGTTATTTGCACTTATATGAAATTTTAAGCGAATTCAACTTTTACGTGCGTGTACGCACGTATGAAAAACGCGTAACTGGAATGCAGCCTTAAGTCACAATCGGACTTCTGGAAAGTCTTGTTAAGAATATCCAGAAGGGATAAAGCATCCATCATAAATAGTATGAGAAAGATGCTAACAGGCTGTTTTAAGGATGATAAATAACCCCTAGCTTTGGCACGATATTCTGAATCTACTGACTTTGAAACTACACATTTCTCCAGTGTGGCATACGCATCTTCAATGTATTTTGAAATAACTTTGAGACTTGATAAATGCCCATCCCATCTTGTAGTTATCAACTTTTTAAAGAATCACCTTCATAGAGCTTATTAATCTGAGGGATTCTGAAGAAAATATATAAATCCTGATCCAGTTGAAAGAAATCACCTAACTCTAAAATGTTTGACAAAGTATCTCTTATCACTAAGCCAAGTCGATGGTTCAGACAGTGGATGTATGGAATAATACGGCCACAATGTTCTTGGATTAACTGGTGCAAACCACCTGATAAAAAATATAAGTGTAATAAAATGAATAGTGTGCTTATTTATAGACTTCAATTATGATAACTCATCAACACTAAACTTTATGATGCATGCTGCATCTTACTCACCTTTTGTCCCAGACATGACACTAGCCCCATCAAAAGTATTGGAAACTAGTCCATCCATTGATATTTCACGCTCGTCTTTTAGAGTTGTTGTAGTGATGTCCACAAGACCCTTTGCAGACCTGTCTTCTGCCAACTTAACATCGACCACATGTTCCACAATACCTCCTTTGCTGTTGTTCCAATATCTCAATGCAACACCTTCCATTTCACTAAATATTGTTGTGATATGACCAGAATTAAATACTATAATAACAAACACTACTACAGGAGTTAACCTGCCAGTTATTTAAGTTTGTAAGGTTAATACTGTACCTCTGACTGCTATCAGTAGTGCCATCCATCATTAGGGTGAATAACTCTGCTTCTTTGCACTCGTTGGCCACTGTCTCTATCACAATTTCTGCTAGGGTTTCTATTACCTCATTTTGTATTTCTGGTGAGGTATATTTTGCATTGGTCGGAAGATTCTTTGCTATTTGTTGCAAATGAGGATCTTGAGGAAAAATAAGATCAGAGAATGAATTTAAATAGAGCCCTCCTGACAGGTCCTCTTCTAACTTCGAGTTTTCTTCGTGTCCGCGAAAGCTAAGACCATTAGCAACCAGGTATTTGGTAGTGTTGAATACTGTTTTCAGCCATATCTTGTGTTCTGCCCTGACTTGGATAAGGTTTCGTACCGTCTGACCACGTTTCTCACGAAACTCTTTCTCTTTCCAAGATGCCATTGCTCGCGTATGAACCTCTGACTGTTCGTGTTTTTTTAAATCCCTTCCCACTTTCCATTGCCGTCTTCCAGTTTGAGAATCCACTCTCTGTAAATGCTTTTTCTTTTGTGGAATCTTTTGAAAACATTTGACAAGGATAGCAAAAACATGCATTTGCATCTTTGAAATACTCCAGCCAAGAAAAAGCATTGTACCATGTGCTTTGGAAAGATCTTTCTCGATTCCCTTGCCTTTTCTTTGGGTACTGTTGTAGCAAAGGTCTTGATTGTGGGCGAAGTTGCTGAAAACGTGATCCACTTGTTGATGAAGATTGTGATAACGTATACATATTTCGTAGAGATTTGCAATTGAGATTTGAAAGATTTGCAATTGAAATGCTTTTTTAAAACGAGCCCGCGTTAAAAATTATAAAA